TTTGTCTACTTGTTTTAAGTAAGAAACGTGCCAACCTTAGATGCTACTTATTTGAAATGCTCTCTTTTTGTGGCAACGATTATATTGCATGTTTAATTTAGTTACAGAGAAAGTCTGGGAAAACGTGAAGGTGAAGGGTGGTGCCGATCAAGTCGAACCACCTCTTCCTTCCACCAGCAAACCCATTGTCGCCCCATCTCCTAAGAAAAAGGAGGTAATATCATCACACCTCCCCTTGGTACTTTCACTCAATTTTTGTTGTTAACTCTGCCAATCCTTTTATCTTTTTCATATTCTTGCAGACGGGACCATGGTCGAAGAAGACGAAGCAGGCTACACTCACTAGCTTTTTCAAAAAGTAAATAGTCGAAGAGCTTTTGTTAGGTTGAAAATATTTTTGTATCGCTAAGGAAGTAAAATGAATCTATCTGAACCTCGCATTTGTCTTTATTTACTCTTGTGCGACTAATTCGGGCGGGCCTAACCGAAACGGCAGTCCTCAAATGAGTTATTTGAGGACGCCCGCACGCACGGTCGACCAATTGCCTCTTCGTAAGCTAGTTGGTCGATATTGTTTAAATCTTTTCTACTTGGACAGTCCATTTGCGGCCACAAGAGGAAGGAGAATGGCGATGCTAAAAATTGTGGGGCGGCAGATTCTCGATAGTCGAGGCAATCCCACTGTGGAGGTGGATATCATCACGTACAGAGGTTTGGTCTCTCTTTAACCTGGTTTGATGCCCACTTTGGTGTCGACAAGCTGTATTGACTCAAACTGAGCTGCTTTTATAATGATTCGATTTGGGTCTCTGGTCGAATTGCACACGTATTCTGAAGGTGTTCGTTGTCATCGCTACTCACTGTCGTCGGTCCTCAACTCCGTTTCGATGTTGGCGGAATTGACACTTCTGTTTTTACCCCATTGGTGGGCATAGGACTTAGCGTTCTCTTTCACCATGCATGTCTCGAAGTAGTGCATTGTTGATTGATGGGTCTGTCTCTACTCTAATTTGAATCCGCGTTGCTGTAGTCAGTGTGGTCATTTAAATGCTGCACAAATTGATATGTCTCAAATAATCAATTATTGTATCCGGTTTGAAAATTGTTGTTTGTTCATGTCAGTCTTTAGAAGAATGCTAACGAAAGCTGCGAATGTTTGGATGTGTTTATTTCTTATTGCAAGCGAAGATTGCGGAGTTCAGGCCAAAAGTGGAAATGCTGATGCTTGGTTCTGTCCGTAACAAGCTCCTCAAAGTACCATTTATTCCAATCTTATAGCGAGACTAGACATGTATTGCACATAAAAGTGTAACACAAGAAGGGGCGTAACTTATTGAAGGGCGAGCTCTCACCAAAGTATGAAGTTGGGCATCTACTTATAAATTTATAAGTAGGCACGGCCTGGTTCGTTAAAATAAACGAAGATTTCGACCCATAGCTGCATTACAATGTTCTAAACCCCTATCCTTAGCATTACGTTTTCAAATAGCATCCAAAGCAGTGCGATTAGGCCTAGTTAACAATGCGTACGTCAATGAATCAACAGAGATGGTTTTTTCTCGAATGGCAGCGTCCAATCTGATGGTAGTTACAGAACCTCCTTAATAAGGATAATATTGCTTAAATTTTACGGTACCTTACGCAGGTTTGTTCCGCGCGTCAGTGCCAAGTGGCGCGTCAACTGGCCTGCACGAAGCCTGCGAGCTTCGTGACAACAATCCACAGGAGTTCAACGGTCTTGGCGTGAAACAGGCGGTGCGCAACATTAACGAGATAATTGCACCGGCACTGCTTAAAAAGGAACTTCTCGTCACTCAACAGGCCGAAATCGACAGCTTTATGGTCAATGAACTAGATGGCACGCCTAATAAAAGCAAGTCATTTTAGAAGTGGTGATTGAATGCTTTCATTCATTTGTTAGTTTAATACATCACAACATTCACGATCAGGCTCTCCCGCTTTGTTTTGTTTAGCAAGATAACCATGTTTTGCTTGACACATAAGATCAAGACGGTAATTTTTCACAATAGAAGCAGGAAAAGCAATTCAAATGCGTATTTTCAATGAACACATTGCCTTGTCCTTGAACTACAATGTAAGTTTCTGATTCGACCTTTTGTGAACTTTCTTTAAAGGTCGTTTGGGCGCCAATGCTATTCTTGGTGTTTCGCTGGCTGTTCTTAAGGCCGGTGCAGCCGAACAGGTATTTATCGGCTTAGATTTTGTTTTCCAGCTCAATTCTGCCAACTCTCAAAATCTTTTATTTGTCCAGCGCATTCCTCTCTACCGTCATGTGGCCAACATGGCAGGTGTGACAAGAGTGACCCTTCCGGTTCCAGCATTTAATGTAATAAATGGTGG